TACAATATTACGAAAAAAACACACTTATGATAGCCTAAGATAAATCTTTGTTTTTACATTTAAAATGATGAAAAAAAGTTATAAAGCATAAAGTTGCGTGTTATCCGTGCCGAAATTTAACCAATTTTCACGGTAATAACATGTGAATTTTGGTATCTTTTTTAGGTATTTTACTGGCTACACTAATGCATTAAAATGAAACTAAGTAATTGTTTTAAATGACATTAGATTGTAACCTTTAGCTTTTCCCTAACACTGATGTTGGCTGGATAATAGGCTACGTGAAGCGGGATGACTCGGTTAAGCTGATTTCACTATATTTATTTACCGGTTAAATGAATAGTCTGATCGTGGGTCAGCTTGCATGCGTGGGCATAATTTGATGTCTTTACCTAAAACTTTAAACATTCACAGGTCTGTTATTTAAAATAAAACGGAAATAAGGAGAATAATATGATTTAAAGCACTCGTTTGGCACTGAAGCCATCATCCGTCTGCATTAATAAGCGGTAAGCATTACTATCGTTAATAAAATTCGTAATAGCGAAACTGCATATTGTTATTACTATTAAAACGTAGCCTATATTACTGCCTTAGTTCAGTAACTTAGGCAGTAATGCAAAGTAATAATAAATGTGAATAAATAGCCTAAATGAAAGAAACAAGAGACCAAAATGAGTCACCAGGTCTAGTGCCCCCCTATGGATTTAAAGTGCCCCCTCAGTTTTGACTTCCTGGCACCAGGCCTGCAACACCGCATGGCGTCTCTTTCCCGTCTGAACATTTTAACAGGTAAAAATGTCTTCGAAGCCAAATCATGCATATTAATGAAACTCTAATGATCTCTTGATTGTATTTTCATTAATGATGAAAGCTCAGACGTCACATTGTACCCATCAGTCCAGACAGCCAGTCTACTCGCTGGAATTTACACAAGGATCTAATCGCTGTGATGTAGCTCCTAAATATTTTTTCAACCCAGAAGAAACAATTGTTCGAAATAATGCAAACGCTACCAGTTTTCACTTTTTTGTGAAATATATGTGCCCTAATATTGATTTTCGCAGCGTGGGACACTATAGTGTGAATGGGCCTTGAAAAAGGAACGAGAGGCGATGGGTTAATTTTATGAACTGCTGTGGCCAATATCTTTGAGGTTGGATGAAGGGAATGTGCATATCTTTGCGATGTGATTATGCCCGGAGCAAGAATCTGCTTTTTTGAAAGCTCACTTACAAACTCATTAACAGCAGCAAATCAAAGGCAGTAGTATTTTATCTTATGTCTTTTTTCATCGCATGCACTCACACATACAAATGTACAGACTGCAAGCCTAGTTTCAACAAAGTGTATACACCCTAAACTGAAGTGTGTGTGCTTTTCTGGATGAAACTGGCCCAGTAAGTTTGACGGTCTGTATTCTGTGTGCATGCTGACAGTTAAATTCTCCTTCACATGATCACTCCTAGAGCCTAAAGCCTCTAATGGTATCAATGCCTCCAAGATTAAGACTATTCTGGTGAGCTTTGGAAGAAGCCCAGTCATCACAAGAAAGTTTAACCGCTTGGTATTAAATTGCAGTACTGCTTTAAGCATGGAGAGTTTCCTTAAGCATCATCACTAGTAGAAGGATTATGTAGGGCTTCTAAATTTTTCAACTATTTATTTAATTAAATCAGTATACAAACTTTGTATGTACATTGCATGCATAAAGTCCAATATATACTTCAGGGTTGAGTGATTGCAATACCCCACTATGCATCCCTTGCACATAGCCAACACCTTTGTAAGCATTTATTTTTATGCGTTCTGTTTGTGTTGCTCTCCAAAAGTTCTTCTGAAATGCTGGTAGGCAGTGGGGTTTCTATGTTCAATGAGGGGTTTTAGTGTGCTCATGTTTTGAGTTTATGCTGGAAATATATGCAATACTATTGTAGAATTAGCTCAAACTCACACTCATTCAAGGAAGAAAGACAACTGTAATTCAACAACTGTAATTATAAAATCAAGGCTGTAGAATTAGCATGGATGGAGGTGATACCCCCATTTAATTGTCTCCAAAAATAAAATAATGGTTTGTCAACTCTCAATAACGTAGATGTATAGAAAGGGTTAAATCACAATCTGTACTAGAGCCCTGCCTCTATCAAACATAAACTACCTAGCAACAAATAATAACTTGACATCTAGTTGATCATATGCAAAAGTGGCAGAAGGTAGATTTTTCCGATGAATAATCAGTTGAACTGCATCCTAATCATCACAAATACTGCAGAAGACCTATTGGAACCTGCATGGACCCAAGATTCTGACAGAAAGCAGTCAAGTTGGTGAAGACAAAGTCATGGTTTGGGGTTAGATTCAGTATGGTGGCATGCGAGAGATCTGTAGAGTGGACGACAACATCAACAGCCTGAGGTATCAAGTCGTGTGCTTTCCATTACATTACAAACCACAGGAGAGGGCAAATTCTTCAGCAGCATAGCGCTCCTTCTCATACTTCAGCATCCTCATCAAAGTTCCTGAAAGCAAAGAAGGTCAAGGTGCTCCAGGATTTGCCAGCCCAGTCACTTGACATGAACATTATTGAGCATTTCTGGGTAAGATGGAGGAGCCATTGAAGATGAACCAAAGAATCTTGATGAACTCTGGGAGTCCTGCAAAAAAAGCAAAGTCAGACCTCACTGTCCTAAATAAATCAAGGCATGATCAAAAAATCAAGGCATGATCATATTTCATTTTGGTAAAATAAGCATATTCTTGAGGTCTTTGTCTTTCAAATAAGCCACTTCTGATGCCAACTAGAGGTCAAGTTATTGTTTGTTGTTTCTAAAACTTGGATAGGCGACAATACTTTTGTCAGGTAGTGTAAATGTACATTGTGGTTGGCAGTGCCTTACCCCGCTGTCATATGAGAGCCTCCTACGACATGTTGGGATGTTCGCAGCACCAAAACTAGTTCAGTTAGGTCCCCACCAGTATCAAAAGCAAATCTACACCCTTGCTTAAAATAAACAAAAAACAAAATTGTCCATATGGACCTTAACACTCCCATCACCAGCTTCGCCCCGCTCCTATGGCTCTTGGCCCTGCCCAAACATATTACAGCTGTAAACAACTGTCGCAACATGTAGTTCTTGTTTTTAAAAATTGTGAGATTGTCTGTGCTGGACCTAGCACATGCACTTGACGTAGAAGTAGAAATTGGCCTCAAGTGGCACTTTTCTTTCATTTCAAATATCTGATATGTATTTTACACAACGGTACAGTAAAGAGGTTAATTGTGAGCGATTTAAAGTTTAGATACATTGACAACATTGTCTTTTGTTCTCTGTTTTGCCAAGACAAAAATTTCAAAGTCGGAGCTGAACATTTGTGGAAAGATGCAGATTGTAGTTTCCTGAATGTTTTAGGATCCAAATGAATTTGTCAGTGACTCATTAATCTATTCATAATAATAATTCCTTACATTTATATAGTGCTTTACACATTTTTGGAGGGAATCTCCTCTCCACCAGTGTGAAGCACCCAACTCAAGAACACAACAGCAGCCATATTGCTCCAGACCGCTCACCGCTCACCACACACCAGCTGATTAGTGGAGAGGAGCTATAGCCAATTGTAATGTTGCCAATTATGATATATGATGTAGCCAATTATGATATGGGGATGGTTAGCACGCTATGATGGACAAAGGCAGCCCTGCCTAGCTTCAGTGGGTGACCATGTGAGAGTTGCAGAGAGCTAGCTGCTGGCACAAAGACTTTAAACATGGAGAATTTTTTTTAAGCATCATTACTATGGGAAGGATTGTGCCTTAAGGGCTTCGGATTTTAATTAAATAAATAGTACCAGCTAGCCGCCAGTAGGGTTAGGGTACCTTGTTTAATTTTTTTAATCCTTCAGGTATTTTTTTATACAAATGATGCAGTGACTCACTCAATAAGACAGACCTGCCACCCTCTACTGTTAGTTTTAGTGTAATATTTGGTATGTTTATTTGTGTATGTCATCATATTATATCACCAGACTGTGCTTAAGAATGTTCAGAACCAGCCAACCTGGCCGAATGGCCTGTTTCACACATATAGATAGAATGTTAGGTTAAAGTATGATTGCATGTACACGCATTTCAATGAGAATCTGTGCATTTGGTAATTTCACATGATGACAAAAGGCTCTTCATTTGACCACAATCTGAGGTTGGTCATACAAATGTGCAGCTTTACCAAAAGCAAGCTGCTTGGTTTTGAAATGACGTATTTGTGGGCTGTGCTTCATTCATCTCCACATTATTGACAATAGACCTTTTTGTCCTTAAAAACTGCCTAAAATGTCACTAATGTGATTACAACTTTAAGGCTGAAGGGTGACTCTTGAAATGTGCGATGGCAAATACACGCACGATCACTTGGGGCCAATGAATAAAGCTCACAAACCTGAAACAACAGCCATGGAAATGATGCATTCAAAGTATCAAAGCTGTAATGGAGGAAAGCAAAAGAGTGACATTACCCGGATCAAGAAGCTCATATGTTGATTGGATGTTAAAAGCTTTTGCCACTCAAGACTGCATAAGAAATAAAACAGTGAAAAGAGTTACTTGTCTTGCCAATTTTGGGGGATGCTTTTAACAGTAAAAAAAAGAAACACGACTGGCCCTGCTGTAACTGATAGTCACTATGTCAAACTAACTCTGGTGCTCAAGTAAACAAAACCTGAATATAGTTAAAATGTTTATCTTCAAAGAATCTTTTATTCAGAGTCAAAGTACAAGTCCTTGCTTGTTTAATTTGTATTTTTGGTGGGACAAAAAGTGTTTAAGCATTGAAAAGATTCAACACATCACCTCTAAAGACCGTCTTATTACTGCCTCAGTTTAACTATATGACCGTATAACTGTGCTTATACACGTCCACTGGCTTCCTCTTCTGCAGAAGTATGTGCACTAGAAAAATACATCGTTTATATGATGATAAATGGTCTCTTGATTCATTTAGGATGGCTTTGTGGTGCGGATCTATGCTACCAGCTCAGACCCAGCTTTACAGCAGGAGCTGCAGCTCAAACTGGCCAGGAAGTGTCTTCATGCCTGTGGGATTTCCCTCTTCGACCTGGAGAAAGATCTTCATATCATCAGTGAGTCCTGTGCACACACCTTTGTACATCAGTGTCAATGTTTAAAGGGAAGTGAGTGTTTAAATATGGTAACTTGGTGTCTCTTTTGCGGTGCGTGTGTTTGTTTTTGTCCTCAGGCACAGGGTTTGATGAGGAAGCAGCCTTGATTGGAGCTGGCAGAGAGTTTGCTTTGATGAAAACTGCATCTGGCAAGGTAGACATATCTCTCTATGTTCTTTAAGTGTCCCTATGTTAACAATTCACTAAATGAGTTGGGACCGTAAGACAGGGTGTAGAGGCCTAACTTATGTAGATTCACTTGTCCAAACTACGTTGTTGACAAGATGGCTAACCCTAACCCAAACCCTAACCCAACCATCATAGTTATTAACGTCTACACCTTCCCCAACCATCATAGTTATTAACATCTACACATTGCCCAACCCTAAACCCAACCATCATAGTTATTAACCTCTGCACCTTCCCCAGCCCTAAACCCAACCATCATAGTTATTAACATCTACACCTTGCCCAACCCTAAACCCAACCATCATAGTTGTTAACGTCTTCACTTTCCCCAACCCTAAACCCAACCATCATAATTATTAACGTCTGTACATTCCCCAACCCTAAACCCAACCATCATAGTTATTAACATCTACACCTTGCCCAACCCTAAACCCAACCATCATAGTTATTAACATCTACACCTTGCCCAACCCTAAACCCAACCATCATAGTTGTTAACGTCTTCACATTCCCCAACCCTAAACCCAACCATCATAATTATTAACGTCTGTACATTCCCCAACCCTAAACCCAACCATCATAGTTATAAACGTCTACACCTTCCTCTACACCTTTGATTGACTGATTGATTGATTGATAGTTGTTGACGTCTGCACCCTCCCCAACTGTAAACCCAAACAGGGCTTTACATTAACACCCGCCAACCCACCAAATGCGGGTAGATTTCAACTCTGGCCGGTAAGACAGCCGCTCCCACTTGCCACTTTGGCTGGTTGGAAATAATTTTTACATTTTAGTTTTCTTAAAAGCAGGGTTCGATAATAAGGATTGCCCAAAATCTGATCTTAGAATCGAGAAGCAGCACGACTGACAAAAATATTTGTGTTCGCGCAAGCAAAAGCAGGTAAATACCTTATGAGAGGATGATTACTCGCGCACACAGCTGATGTTATGCGCGCGACTGTTAAAAGCACGCGCTCTCGTTTACTTGCGCGAAACAACCGTGTGTAGAAGTGCAACTGGTGCGATTGGTTCTCTTTGAAATTGAATAGACAAAAATGCTCATGCACCCACAGTCCTGCTGCTTTCAAGAGCTCAAGATTGAAAAAAATATATACATACATCCTTTTTTAAGCAGCAGCAGTCACTGCTTTCATTTTAATTATTCTTTGAACAAATTATTAACAAGCCTAACATTAACTGTGTGCACGTGATCATTCTTTTATTATCACACACGCTATGTTTTTGCCTGCTTTCTTTTGATTACAGTTATTTTTTTTAAAATGGTTTAATTATCATTCTTTACAATAACATTGCTTTCATATAAGATTAACTCCCCACTTATGTGGAGTTAACTGCTGATCTGAGACCTTTAGCCAGGCCAGATTACTGTGCGTATTTAAGATACACGACAATAGATCTTTTTAAACGACAATTATAAAAAAAAGTTTTGTTGAATAAAAAGTGCATGTGCAGCTATATTTTGCTTGTTTTGACAAATTTTAAATTTGTGGCAAAGACATAATTATTTTTTTTTTGGTGTGGTCAGAAATAAATTTGGTAAATTCTTAATTTTGAGCCCTGAAAAGTCATGTGAAAAAAAACCACAACACACACAAAAAGTGAAATGAATGAAAAGTCATGTTGACAAAACAACATGTAAATCAAGTAATTTTAGCATGTCAAAGTCACATTTTTACATATAAAATATATTTTCTAAACAACAAAATTGTGGCTAGTGAAAATGGCGAATGGCTAGTAATTTTGAAAATCTACTAGCCACAGTGGCTGGTGAACAAAAAGGTTAATGTCAAGCCCTGAACCCAACCATCACAGTTGTTAATTTCTACACCTTCCACCACCCTAAACTCAACCATCACAGTTATTAATGTCAACACCTACTCCAATGTGCACATACAGCCGTGAGTTGTGGAGGCTTTTATACTTGATGTGCTCACCATTGTACTGTTATTTGCAACCACAGGGGGTGACATAGAGTAGGCTAACTGCCATAAAATGGACGACAAAGTCAGCAAGTGGAGTTGCTAAATAAATGAATATATTATTATATCTAATTAATAGGTTGTGGATAAATTTGGAGAACACATGAAAACATTTGCTGAAAATGTTCTCTGGAAAGTATATCTTAATAGAGAAAAGTATTTCTTTGTTCTTGTTTGTTCTAACGATGATATCAAGGTTCTGTTTACAGTAATTTTGTTGTTTGGTGTCCACTATGCAATTGTTAGACGGCATATAAGGTTGCTGGCAAAAGATGCACATACCTAGTTAAAGTTAATGGTCACATAATATGCGTTTTAGTCTATATCGTGTGGACGGAGATAATTTAAAAAAAAAATGTGATAACATTTATCTTGAGGAAGAGCATTTTTATTCTAATGATTGTTTTAAAATTATGAAACATTAGTGTAACACGCACCTAAAGAGTAAAAGAGGTCTCAGGTTCAAATCCAGGACGAGCCCCGACGTTTTATCTTTTTTACCCTTTGGGGAATTGTAAATTACAAATTAGACAGGTTAAGTAATAAACAAAATTGAAGAATCACTTCAGTCCTCTGCCTCAGAAATGTGAAACAACCACGAGATGAGTAAACTTAAATCTCTTATTTTTGTGCTCATTAATTAATAAACATAGGAGGCAATAAGCCTTCAGGAGAAGGGTAAACCAAAACAACAAACACAACAGGAACTAGCTTAGCAGGAGTACTAAAAAACCTATTTAAGTAAAAGAAAAGAAATAAACAACAAAAGCTTTCCTAAACTTCATCTCTCAAATGGTACAAAAATAAACATGGCACCCTCTCCCTACAGCTTCCTTTAGTAAGTCTAAAATTGTATTCAGACAAAGAAACAAAGAAATTATGTTTAAATACCATACATAGAAAGCAGACACACTGTCTGTTCTTCACAAGTCAAAACCCAAAACACAAGTCTTTTCTTCAAAAGACAGAAGTTAAATTCTACCTAATAGCTCAATAAACTTCTCACATCACACAACAGGCCAATATCCAAACAGTACCCAACAAACACAAGCCTGGAGCAGGAGTTAAGTGAATATCTTTTTGGGGTTTTGCACACTGCTCTTTTGTAGCAGCGTGTCTCTGCAGCACACTCACACTGATGAGTATCACCTGTGCCTAATCAGCTTCTTCAGGTAATGCAAATGTAGTACATCCGAATTCCATTCATACTTTTCACATTCATATTGTATAGAACATACTTTTCTAATGGCTGAGTTTGCCACGTTTAAATTCAAAGGCAGTACCTAATTAGTAGTAAATTTTGGACGCAGCCCTAGGAAGTGGGAGAGAGACAGGTTCTCAATGTGAGTTCTTCAGCATTGTAGCCTCCTCGTGTTCTCGTGTAACGTCATCATCAACCGTCAAAGTTTAGTTCCAAAATTCAAGACCACAAGAACGGAGGACGTGGGAAAGTTCCCAGATGTGTTTTTGATATTGAGGATGCGTGGCTGCAAACTTGAGCGCAAAAATTGCTCAAAGTACCAGAAGTCATTGTGGCTAAATAAAGGAGGTGGGATGCACAGCATTCTTCTTATTATAAAAGTTCAAAGATATAACTTTTTTACCTCAGGAGTTTCCCTAAATGAGGTGAAATAATACATTATTATGAAAATCTTAATAAAGGAATAAACAGATTGAGGGTGTTTATTTTTTTTTGTTTGTTTTTTTTTTGCTGAAATTTGTATAAAAATTATCTTATATATATATATATATATATATATATATATATATATTGAAAAGGGGAAAAACAATAAATTGTTATTATGAATGCTGTAATGTTTAAATAATTGGTAGTTAAAAATACCTGAAGGTCAATTAGGAAGAACGCAGCATCTCATTTCTCAGAGGATGCGTTCTCTGTTCTCGCGGTCTCCCGAGTTTGTTCTTCCCAGATAACTTGGCAAGTACAGTCTTTAAAAGAACGCAAGCCTGTTCTCTGCGTTCTTGTATTTGAGAAACAGCCACAGAACACAAGGACACAACATAACCACACCCATTGGGCAGTAAACACACAATAAATAAACAATATTGAAAACATTTAAAGGATGTAACATTATGTAAAAGGATTTTGTTCCACGATGCAGATCTCTTAACTCTTACGTTCCTTTTTATACAAGCAGTTCCAGCGTTATGGATTTGACATTTGCAGTAAAAACTCAAAACATAAATTCATATAGAAAGTATATGTTAACATTATATTGAAACATTTGTTTTTATTTTTCCAGAACAACTGACCACAGAGTTATGGGACCAGAAAAATATCAATCTGTTAACATATTTTGCACTTTAAATGTGGAAATAAATCATGTGTTATGGATGTGACCAAAAAAGTATGCGAGTTTAGAGCATATGCTTCGTATACATTTTGTGTATTAAACTGCACAACCCCTGCAAAAAAAAAAAAAAAGAAACACCAATCGGAAGGATAAAAGTTGGCCCTCTATAGAACAAACATGATTGATATTATTTTATTAAATATTTTTGCATTTATGGGAATAAAGCTTTGTTATGGATGTGACAGGTGTGAAATTGTCACTTGTAAAATTTTGGTAAATCAAACAAAATTGTTTAAAAACATTGACAGAGACATTTTTGAGTATTTCTAAAGTACTGTAAAATACTTGCTTACACAAAAAAAACTTAGAAACTGTTTTTTTCTCACAAGGTTGAAATTTGCATGGAATTGCTCATAGTTTTGTGTATGTTTTTGCATTGTACTGTGCTATATTTACAACACAAAGGTGTCACAGAAGTGCTTCTCGAGTTGGGTTAAGTGGCTTTTTCACAAATAGTTTAATGCTGCTCAAAGGTGGCATAAATGCATTTACACACCAATTAAAACTGTATATTGGGATAGTAGTGGGTCAGAGAAGGCATAATTTAGCCTGGCTTTTACATGGCATTTTGCCTTAACATTGAATTA